TTTTTTTTTTTTTTTTTTACTTGTCTGCTTTACATCTGTGGCTTGCAATTTTCAAGGTACCTGTCTTGAAAAGGAAAACTGCTTGGATTTATTGCAGCTGAGGGGCACTGCAATTTGCCGTTTCAAAAGATAATGTAAGAGCCAGGCAAGATGCATAGTTGTCACTGCTGCGTGTGTGAATAACCAAGTGGGTGAGGCACAGTGCTAATAAAAGGGGTCAGGATACAATTGTCTCTTATTTCTGTGTCTGTGGTATTTTCTCTGACATAACAAGTCAAAGATTACCATATGAAGTCTTTATGAGACTGTAGCAGACAAAGGAAACAATAAACAGACCTTCAGTGTTCTTGTCTTTGCTGGAGAACTGATTGATTATTATTTTAAGAAAATTCAAGCCTTTTAAATCTAAGCCCTTGCCGAAACTAGTCCCTGGCACAGCTTTTGCCGTCTCTGATGGCCTGAGCATATTTTTGTGTTAAAAATATTTGAATTGTAGCAGAGCTTGAAGAGTCGTTTCATTTTCTCACATACCTGATATGGGTTTGCTCTGTGCTGTGTGCACATAACTCTTCGGTTGCTTGCACTTATCTCTACTGCTGGAGTTGCTGAAGCTGAAAACGTGAACGTGGTTTATTTGCAACTGTTTATATGAACTGTTATATGTGTATGTTATATATATATGTGGTTTATATGAACTGTTTTGAACAGTTACCTACAGTTTGGAGGCCTTAGAAGGACCCAGTGATTTAAACTGGTATGCCAAACAAGTCAATCAGTGAGCATGTAGGCAGAGATGGAGACTTCTTCTTCCTGAACTTCTGGGGGTTTCCCTGTTGCTCTGAGTGCAGACATGAGTGAGTAGTGTCCATCACCACCTCAGCAGCACCACTGGTCATTTTTTTGTTTTAGAACAAATAACCATTCTACTGAGCACACCCTACCAAGTTGCAGCATCAGCAGACAAGGTTTAAAAATACACTTCCTCCTTGGAAATGAATTAGGTCATTTACCTGAGGCTAGAGAAAGCCTTATAAAGTAAAATTTTCAAAGTCTTTTCCTAAGGATGAAATATTAGGGTGTTCATGGCAGTTTTCCATCACTTACACTGCT